CTCGTCTCTGTTCCTGTGCCGCGCACCTGTTCTCCTCCATGGATGCCAGGGAGAAATTCTCGGGAGGGATGATCTCTAGCCGGTTTGCTATGGCTGGGGACACCCCCTGGCTGATTTGTTCGACGGCTTTCATCCGCTGAACCCCGATGTCCAGGCACCTCAACACATCTCCCTCTAATATAGCATCCAGACAACAAGCCAGGGTCAAGTACTCCCGCCTCATAGGAGTGCTGGCCCCCGAGTGTGAAAACACTTGACGATAATACTTTAGAAAAGTCGGGCCTGGCTGGTGATCCCCTCCAAACTCCCCGATTGCTGTCATGAGCCTCTTCCGAGCCTCCTTGATAGCGTACCTGGTGAGCAACCCCGGGCACTTCCGCGAGATGTGCCTTGCTTGGGCCTCTTCCGGGAAAAGATCCTCCTGATCTGAATCGCCTTTCAGGGTATCCTGGCTGTTGCTTGTGCTGCTGCTGTCGCTGCTCCTGTCTCGTTTGCGCTTCACTCCAATGTGGGGTCGACGAAACGCGGGGTCTAAGGACGACCCTCTCCAATCCCAGGCGCTCGCTCTTATCATGGACTTGATTCGGGCCTTCCCTTTCAACCTTTTCTGGCGTTCGGGGACGCCTCCTTCGTTCCTGCTGGCAGGAGGGGGAGGTGAGGTCCCCAACCCTCCCGGATTCACTCCGTAACCCAAATCCTGAGCCACGGCTGCCAGCCCACCCAGTTCGCCTGGACTCCCCACCAAGTTGAGGAGGTTGGATTTCCATTCCAATAGAGGGTCTACCTCGCGCAACTCCCGCACGCAGAACAACCCGTCTAGTTGGGGATCCAGATCTTGGGCCAAGGGCTTTCTGTTGGCATAAAACCCTTCTGAATGGGACCTCTTCCACTCCTGCAGCTCCGCATTGAGGGTTCCTGTCAGGTTCAGTTTCATCCACTGGCCCTCCCGATCGTCCAGGAGACCTTCTACTTCTCCCACGCACTCTGCCGGAACACCCCTGTACGTCCCCTTCAAATGCAACTGCTGCCCCACTTGCGGGACGAAATCTCGGAGAGCTTTCCATGCTGACAACCCCTTGCCTCTGGGCCTGGAAGATCTACGTCTAGGACTTGGTTTTGTCGTTGCCTTAGCCTTAGCCTTTGCCGTAGCTCCAGCCTTTGATAGGGGTAGGCTACCTCGCCGAAGAATTCCTCTCCTGGGAGTTGTCGCCGGCCGCGGGACGTCTTCTAGGAGCCATCAGGTAATCCCTCACGCCAAGCACGATATTCCCTACCACGATCACGATGCTTCTTCCCCTTGTTTTTCTTCCGAGGCTTGAACGTCTCTTCCGTGCACTCAACCTCTCCGTCACCAAACGTCTGATTTGTAGGCTCTGGATGCTCTGAAGGCCGTGCTTTTCGCTTAGAAGAAGATGTCAATCTCACTTCTGGCCTCTCGTTGGGATCCCCTCGTTGTGGTGGTGGAGGCGGCTTGGGCGGCTGCCGGGTGATCTCCCTGCGTTCCTCTCGCCTTTCTTGATCGCGATCTGATCTGTTCTGCTTCGTCTCCTTACCCTGACTGGGTGATCTCCCCTTGATTTTAGATGCTTCTCCCGGTGCAGGAGAAAGGTTTTCGTTGTCACAGGAGGATGGAGGGAATTCCAGAGGAACACAAAGCCAGCTGTTTACCTCGCCCAAGCACCGCTCAAGGATCGAGTGTATCAAGTCAAAGTTGCTGGAGGTCAAACGATGATCCGCAGGGAGTAAGCTGATTGCTCTGCTAACTCTGCAAATGCCACAGATTGGACTCCCACTTGTACTAGCCCACCGCTGACAGTCTGAGCAGCGCACCAACGCCGCCGACATAAGCGCGAGATAGAACAGGCTTTCGAGCCGATACGTTACAGCGATCGATTCCTAAACTACGAGGACGCAGCATCAAGCAGAGGCACTACATTCAGAAGCAATAAAAAAAATCGACAGCATAACAGCAGCTGCAAGGCCAGCAGCAGCAACAGCAAGAACAACAAAAACGACAATCGCAACAACAGTGACATCAGTATGAATCGAAATGCGGACAATGGCGAAAGTCATTGCAGCAGCAGCTGGTCTGACAACAATCATGGGATTCATTGCATCAACAAAAATCAGAAACGGCAATCTGCCAAGCACAGTCTTTCTTATCACGAAACATCTTCTCATTCTGCACACTTGTACCGTTTTTGCACTCGCACACACATTCGTGCTCATATACAAAATATGGCATTGCACAAACACCGTTCTACACAGGTAAAGACATGCATACAAGCACGCGAACAAACAAAGGCACAAACAAAGAGAAAACATACTATGCGATAAACGAACATATGCACTAAACGATACTGTATGTGGACCGAGAATCAAAGCACATGTAAATTAGCTGTGTTGAGGCACCGCTTCTGCTCTAGCGCGACTGTCACAGAAGGCCGGGGTGCGCGAGTGTTTCGGGCCTAGGGTTTAGGGCAGAAGTGGTCGCTATCTTGTGGCAGGTTTGGCTTTCCGGCCTCCGAACACGCACGGCCCGGTGCCTTCAGTGACACTTCTGGCGGAGTTTGCCAAGCTGCTCCTCACGCCTACAGCAGCTGAGGGCAGTGTCAACCCTCCACAAAACTTGCCAAAACTAGCCCCAAGCGGCTGGAAGGTGTTTGCGTACCCGCTGAGACCAGAGTGGGGAGCTGGCCATGAGAGGTCGTCGTTCCAGCACTTGCCTGTGGCACACATTCTCTCCTCGAACGGCCCTTCCCAGAAAAGGGACCACGAAGAATACAGGAGCCCACGTGGATCAGGTGGACTCTTGTCTGTCTGGGGGCGATTCTGACCCATGTGGCTTGCGAACATGAGCGTGAATACGAATGCGATGGATAGTTTCGGGGAGCTGTTTCGACTCCCACAGCTCATCACACCATAAATGCGGCGTTCAACTGCCCCCTTGCGGCCCAGGCACCGCTATGCTGCCGTTGGGTGCAACTTCCGTTCTCGGCGGAGAGGTCGCGGTGGGTTCAGCAAGTTGCACTGCGTTGTAGGGATAAGCTGGGTGTTCCACACGGTTCCATACTGCCCGAAGATATCCGAAGATGGACTCTGAAAACCTGGGTTCCTCAAAGTCCAACTGCACAAGGGAACTATGCCGAATGCAAGTTGCTTCCACTTGTTGATCTTGGCACGCCGGCAACCCCGAAGCTTTTCGTCATACTAGCAACAGTCAGTGTCCGCATGACTCACTGTCTACTGCCGCTGCCTTCTACTCATGTCAATCAACTCAAGCCATACAACAGCATTGCTGAATTCCATTCCAACCCCACAGCCCGGGGCGAAGCGGGACTTGGATTGGGGGAGGGAGACACTTCAAGCCTCGCAAAAAGGCGAATCAGACGTTTTTAGGCGCTGGCACGATCGACTCGACACTTTGCGAGCGCGCCTCCGGAGGATCTAGAGTTCGAAATCCAAGGGGCTGCGGATGGCAGCGGGCCGACAGTGCATAGTATACATGTGATGTGGGGCGACGGGAAATTCAGGAACCAGATTCGGGAACAGAGACCCTTTTTAGGGAACCGAGATTCGGAACCGCCAGAATTCAGGAATTTGATTCGCGGAAATGCGGGGCCCATGAACAGACAATTTGGGAACCAAATCGTCACAGTTCAGGCACGCAGGACACATTCCTGCTATATATATATACACACATATATATATATACATGTGTGTATGTAGGTATGTATGTATGTATGTATGCATGCATGTATGTATGTATGTATGCATGCTCGTACGTACGTATGTATGTATGTATGGTCGTATGCACGTATGCACATACTAGCACCGCTAGTAGGTAGGCCAGTAAATAGGTAGGTAGGTCGGTAGGTCGTAGGAGGGAGGGAGTGAGGAAAGGAAGGGAGGGGACGGCAATTTTGGCGAAGGGAAGGGAAGCGAGAGCATCTCCACGTCTGCATTGTGGACGAGCTTCTATGACAAGGTCTATGTATGCATGCATGCACTCACTTTGCATACATCGATGTGACTATGGACTAGCCATCTAGATATCCGTGCACGCATTGATACCTCTGCACATGTGCTTCAATGCATGCAAATCATTGCGTAAATGCTGTTTAACACACGCGGTGTTCATGTTGGGGTAGAAGGATTGGATTGTTCTCCACGCGAGGCGCGAAGCCGCAGGCATGTACGGCAGCCCCAGGCTCCCCGCTGCGGCAAAATTGCAAATTTTCGACTAGAATAGCACTGTTGGCAAATGAGTTGATTGGAAAAAAATCAGTACTGTGGAGTCGCTGCCATGAAGGCTTTTGGCGTGTCTTGGGGAGGAAACCATGCTCCAGCCAAAGCCCATGCTCATTTGACTTTCAAATCGCTCGAAGTCGCGAAAGTCCTAGCAGTGCCACACTGTTCGGCTCCCCCAGGCTTCTTGGTGTGGTCTCGACAATTCGAAATCGTGCTCCCGCCATCTCCAAATATGCGCAAGCACACGAAGCGAATGTGCTTGCATACACTCAGAGTACTTCCTGCATGATTCCTTCGCGCATGCCTTTGCCGACCTATTGGTTTGCTTGTTTATATCCATCTATCGACACGTCTCTCGGCTCAGCACTTCCGTAAATTTGTGCAGATGTGCGTTGCATCTGTCTGATTGCCGTGTATGCATGCGTGCGTACATTTGACATGCATACAGCCTGCGTGTATGTGTGCATGTATGCATGTATGTATGTATGTATGCATGCAAGCATGTGTGGATGTAATGAATCATGCCTGCAGGAATTCATGCGTGCATGCACACAAGTGCGCAAATATATGCATGCACACCTGGTTACATACCTACACGCCTTCATAATTACGTACATACTTCTTCCACATCCGCGCTGCGTTCGAGGCAACATATTGCCGGCATCTGCTGGGTGTTCCAGCACATACATACATACATACATACATACATACAGACAGACAGACAGACATACATACAGACATACATACAGACATACAGACAGACATACAGACAGACAGACAGACAGACAGACAGACAGACAGAAAGACAGACAGACAAACGTAGTCCTACATAACCCTACATACTCCTACATACGTACATTCAGACGAACAGACAGGAAGGGAGGCAGACAAGCAGACAGGCATGCACGCAGGCGCACGAACGTACGCACGCACACGTGTACTACAAGCAATGTTATGCAAGACTGTACGGTGTAGTGTGAAGTATCCAACACAGCGCAGGGCAATGCAAAGCAATGCAACACGAAAAGTACATGCATGCACGTATATTTTTATTTCTACAGGCACGACCAAACAGTGGCATTGACACGCGTCCGCACGGCAGCATGTCCGTGCATCCGCATATCATGACCAGAACTGGCACGGAAAGAGAGACACAGAGAGTAAGCGGAAGAGGAACAGAAACCAGAGAGATGATTCTACTCATGGGCAGAAGGGACAGCCAGGCAGACAGGGGCACACCGGCACACAACCCCATACATACGCACAAGCATCCTCAGCACTACGCTTTAGCAACGGCTTCATTGCGTCAAGCCGCGCCTGGTCGGCTACCTCCTTGGCCGTTTCGGCGACCCTGCGTGCGGCTGCAGCAGCGGCCGCAACCTGGAAATAATAAGAATACAAAGAGACATAGACAGCTGCGGCCTGGCTGGAAGGGACCCGCAGGAAAACGGCCTTGTTGCAGATCTTTTGGGTGTAGTCAGCAGACAGCATCTCTGCCTGATGCAACAGCAGCTGGCAGGAGAAATCCTTTCAAGTTGTATGGCAGTGTATGGGACCACTGAATCACCGAACTGCAGGGCAAAGCCGAGATGTAGCGCTCGCTCATCTTGCTCCCTGCGCTCCCTGCCTCATTCGCGATCACAACGCCTGCAGGAGCGAACTGCCATGTTTGTTCCACACCCGACATCTGGCAAGCTTGATTCCTCTAAATTCTGAAACCACGTAGACTTGGACTTCCGCTCAAGATATCTCAAGGGTGTCGGCACAAGATGGGGGGGCACGTCCAATGGCAGGAGCCGGTATACGCGTTTCCGACCTCACGAGGTCGACGCCGCCTGAAGCGTCGCGCCCGTTTGCAACGTAGAAAGGAGAAGACCCCCACCGGAAAGTTCTCTCAAGCTGACGCCCCACTTTTGATCCGTTGAGACACCGACGCACAGCCCTCGCAAAACCTAACCCTTTCAGTGGTATGCAGGCGTTGCAGTTGCAACCATGAACCTGGACCCGCGCAGCCCCAAGGCGAAGAAAAGGAACCAAATCAGTACAGGGGCTTAGGACAGCGAACTGACTAGTTGATAACATAACTGATTGGTTGATTCAGTCATTAATCGATGAACTAATTCATACATTGTTCAGTCGGGCACGCAGCTTTGGCCTCTTGCGTCGGATTGGTCCGGGCCAGCGCCCTCGAGGAGAAAGTTTAGAGTGGGGCCTTACGGCTATGCGCTTCGGGTCTCTAGGGTTGCAGAAACCTCACCCTTCGAACGTCCTCCTCAGCATCGTCATCCTAGACCCCTGATCACAGCATGACCTTAAGAATTGGGAAAGGCGGGGCCCCGAAGGAGGACCACGTCATTCAGGTACACGCTGTCATGAGAACAATCAAGAAGTTCTCAAGTCCTCGCCTTTTCTGGCGGTTGTGCCGCTTTGGGGGCTGCCTGCCGAAAAAGGAAGGATCCAGTGCTTCAATAGTGCAAGGTGCAGGCGGTGCAGGCAGCTCTGAAGAGATGCCAGCCTCGCGTGGCGACGGCCACACTTCTGGGCCTTCCCTGGCGGAGAGGGCTCGAACGTCCGACTTGAGGTCTGAGACAGCCAGCATCTGAAGCCGTGCTTCCAAAGGCATCTCTCTCGCTCTCTCTGTTTCTTTGCGTAACTTCTTCCTTCGGTCTTTGCGTAACTCTCTCTCTCACTCTCATTCTTCGCTCGCTTTCGCCAGAGATCCGAAGCCCCCGTGGGTGTGCGCACTCAGGGATTGTCGAGTAAGATCCTTACGCAAACGAGGGAAGACACTGAACAGAGGATCTCAATCTAGGGACCTCCCCGACACACGCACATGATAGAATGCTGTCCCAAGACAACGCGATTCACATGAGCATGCTTGTGCTAGACTCTTGGTCACTCTCTCCAAGCGGCCTTCTGCTCACTCCAGCATGAACCCCTAAAAGAAACCTCTAAACCCAAGTCCCCAGCCGCCCCAGCCTGGGCACCAAAGGCGGCGACTTGTTCTCGGACTCCGAGCCTTCCCTGGAGATCCGACCCCGAAAGGAAAGCCAGGGCCCATAGACGGCATGGCTCCAGCCGCGACTCTCGAAACCGCAGGCCGTAGGCGCCCGGCGGGACTGGGCGCAGGCATCCCAGCCTGCAGGCGCGGTGCTCTGACAATCCTTGCTCCGTCATGTCATTGTTGCTACTGCTGCGGTGCAGCACAGGGATGAACGCCTAAATCAGGTTGCGTGGAAATGGAACGGAGAACTGCTGGCGGCTGGCCCGCCTTGTTGTCAGCCCCTCGGAGGAAGCTCCGCCTTGGCCCACGTCTGCTCAGAACAAAGCTCGGGACCCAAGGCCATCGGGGCAGCTGAGCAGGTGGCTGAGGAAAAGTGAGAGGCCGCCAGCAACAGGGCTGTCTTCATTCCAGGACCTTGAACGAGGCACTCACATATTCTCAAACTACCGAGACCAGTCTGGGTGCGAGGCGTTTCATTCAATCCAAACTCTAGACTCTAGATGCAGCGAATCACTTCGGCGGGCTTCATGCTCGTCGGATTCAAATCATGACAACCCCCGAATTGAAAGCTGTAGAAGAACCTGGGAGATGATGAAACACATCCATGAACCAGAGGTCGCACAGCCTTTGCCCGCAAAACTGATGGCCAAATGTCGGGGCTGGGGCTCTGTAGCAGCAGGTCCGTCTCGGAGCTTGCTCCGCATGGCCGCGATCCTTCTGTCAAGATACTGCCACGAAGGCAAGAACCGAACGAATTAAGTCAAATTAAATCGCATAAGTTGTCTTCATACTTCGCACCCTAGGCCCTACCCCTTTCTACGCATGCTGAATTTTGCACCAATCCAAAACGAGCCCACCTAGGCATCAACAGACAGCTCACGAAAACCCGCTCTCCTCGCCGCCAACGCCATTTCACCTGGCCCAGAGTGGGGGGCGGAACTTCCATTCCATCTTTTTGGTTATGCGATGTTATGCGAGAGGTACCATTAATCACAACAGAGAAGCTTCGAGACTGTGTTGGCTGATTGAAAGAACTGAATATCCGTCAGATGACAGCTGCGGTGGCTGCGGGTCGGTCTTGTTGCTAAGCTCCTAATGCACCAAGAAGCCCGACGCCGAAGCACCTGGTGCCGCAATGCGTGGTTCAGGCCGCTGGAAGCAGCGGCTGGCGGCCTCGTGCTTTGGACAGCAGCGACTGGCACTTCACAAACACTCTGTCGCTGTCGATGCCTGCAACTTGGAGTGTAGGGGAGATCAGTGTGGAGGTCAGCGTGACTATGCACATACATACCTATTGGGAACCTATCCGTGCCCTGATGTATATAGAAACCTGTCGCATACCATCGCTACTGCCCCCGCTGCTGCTTCTGTTGCTACTGCTGGTGTTGCTTCCACTGTGAAGACCAAGCACAAGAACAAGAACATCGACAAGAGAACGAGCGCAACAACAACAACAACAACCACAACCACAACCGCAACCGCAACCGCGCAACCGCAACCGCAACCACAACCACAAGCACCTACCACTACTGCTACTGCTACTACTACGGCTACTACTGCTACTGCTACTGCTACTAATACGACTACTACTGCTACTACTCTACTACTACTACTACTACTACTACTACTACTACTACTGCTACTACTACTACTACTGCTACTACTACTACTACTACTACTACTGCCACCGCTGCTGCTGCTGCTGCTGCTGCTACTACTACTACCACCACCACTACTGCTACTGTCACATTATGTACAGGGTACCCCTGTTCCTTCAAGTTTCTGCCCATCCCGAAACGCGAGAGGAACATTCACTGAACCCTTCGTCCGGCCACTGAGCTGCGCAAACAACCCTGGCCCTGACAGTTTTTCTCGAAGCGATTCACCGCGTGCCGCTAGTCTTTGAGCTGGCATTCTGGGGTCTAAGACGCTAGATGGACAAGCCGCTTTGAAAGTTCAAGCGATACACCTGTAGCATTGTGGCACCCTCTCGGTTGCCGACTCTGCAGCGTAGAGTCTAAGGCCGACACCGCCCGCAGTATCGTAAAAGGACCAAGAACACCTCTGCCTGACTTCCTCGTTGTTCATGTGAGCCTTATACTTCCCGACCTCCACCGATACTCAGGTGATGCTATGCCGTGCATGTAGATCCAATGATCTGTTGAAGGCTTGCTTTTCAGTCATTATGTTGGTTCTTCTCTCTTTGGGCTTCCTCCCTTCGGCGAACCCAGCTCGGTATCCCTACAAACCCCGCTCACAGCTGTGAAAGACCCTGAATTCTTCAATGCTTCTTTCACGGGCTTGCGGGCGGCGCTGATGGAATCGGCCGGCCACCGCGCCGGCTGTGAAAAGGCCAGAGCTTCGTCGTCTGGTTGCAAGAACCTTTGATTCAGAATTCAAGGTGAATCGTAACATGATTCTGTTGAGCGGTTTGAGGCTTTGGGGCGACGTTTCCGTTACTGTTACTGGCAGAAGCGACATGTGGGTCGAACGGTGAGAGGCTGGTTTGAAGGATATGGGCGATAGACCTAGGGAGCAGCAGCAGCTGATGACTCGCAGTTTGGGACGCAAGAGACCCTTCGGCATCGGAAGCGTCATGAGCTCGTAGTCCACCAGGCGGATGTCGTGTGCACTTAAGCCACCTCAGCTGTATGGATGCTTTTTGAACGTGCTTCCATGGAACGCATGAACGGATCAGTGATCATGAGAGCAGCAGTACGCATGACAGTGTCTACGAGCGTTATCAGCTGCATGCAACCCTCTACAGCTACAGGTCCTTCTCTGCAGCATCTTCCTCACCGTCACCTCGTCTTCATCAGCACCAACGTCGTTAGCACGATCAATATCAGCGTCGTCATCATTACCCGGTAGCACCATCACCGTAATCATCATCTTCATCATCATCATCATCATCAACACCATCATCATCATCATCATCAGCAGCATCAGCAGCAGCATCAGCAGCAGCATCAGCAGCAGCAGCAGCAGCAGCACCACCACCACCACCATCATCAACAACAACAACAGCTACATCATCATCGTGAATACATCGCCAGCATCATCATGACACTCGTCACCACTTCTTGACCATGATGACTGCCTATTCGCGAGCCCCCAGCATCGCGCGCCACCGTCATTTCCTGCATCTTCATCCCGGAGTTTGATCGTCTACGCATGATTATCAAACGCCGCCGAGATGCGCAAACCCAGGTGCTCCGCAAGCTTGCGGAGAACTGTCAAAGCCCCGATCCTTGGAGAAACAGCCCAGTGCTTCTCAGGAGTTCAACGACTTCACCTGTCCCAGATTCCCTTTCGATTTGAACCCGAAGCCCAAAAGCTTGAAGCAGAAACAGAACACCGTAAGTTCCACGAATTCCGAAGTCCAAGCGATAGTTCGCAACAAGGGTCTGCGTCACGTCCTCTGGGTCCTCCTTGTTGTAAGCCACCAACTCTTCCTTGTGCACGGCTTCGGCAAGATGGTCAGGGCTATAAGTCGGGGGGAATCATGGGAACAAACCGGAGAGAACTGTGCTTGGGATGGTCGAGGGCCGTGTGACTCAAGAACAGATGTACTTGTACTGGTTCCGGCCTTTCTCTCGCAACGCAGCAGTCCGGTTTTTCCTGATGCCAGACAAAAGGCCGAGCCTGTGAGCCCCCTTCCAGAACCCTTAGAGGTCGAACCTCTAGGTCATTTGCTCCTGCTGTGCGAATCAATAGTTAGCAGGCTTGCTCTTCAAACTCGCTTCGTCGCATCTGCTTGATTCTGCCATGCTGCAAAATGGAGAACGTGTGTAGCGATCTTCAGCCAGTTCTCCTCTCTTGGGAATCCTGCAAGTACACGTGGATGTGTGTGTGTGTGTTGGTTGTGTGTGTGTGTTGGTTGTGTGTGTGTGTGTTGGTTGTGTGTCTGTGTTGGTTGTGTGTGTGTGTGTGTTTTGGTTGTGTGTGTGTGTGTGTGATTGTGTGCGTGTGTG